AACAACAACTGGAGATTGGTGGCAGAAGAGTTTGGCTCACCGATAGTCGACTTTGGCGTTACCTCTGCTCTGAATAACAGCAAGAAATTCCTAAAGGCTGTTCTAATGAATCAAATTGACTGCCTTCGTGGCCGAACGGTTACCATGCCGAACTGCCACGCAGAGGTCGCAGGTTCGATTCCCGGGCCGGGAGAAATATTTATATGGCCTACATTTATTTCTCTCGTGAGTTTGGGTGTAATTTGTGGTTGTCTATGTGTGTGTCCATAGCACCCGCGACACAGGGTTTCCCTAGTGCGGGGCTATGTTCAGTGTGTGCGTTATTATTATTATTATTATTATTAAATCGTCTCCACCACAGTTTTAAATATTTAAGGATAAAATAAAGTCAGTTTTGTTGAAATTATTGTATTGTTTTTCATTGAATCCACAGATTCCACTCAAAATAGGTAATCACAAGTAAAAGCTTCAAAACTTAAAATCATATTCAAAATGTGAAATTTGTATAATTCAAATCATATATAGAAAATCACACGATATATGTACTAATTAACTATGAGCTATGAGTGATGAAAAGCAATACAGCATAGTGATATTTTTCAATCTCTGCCTGTGTTCTCTGAAAGCCAGTAATTTTGTATTCTTGCGAACAGTTACAAGATTTTCGCTTAAAAAACATATCACTGCCTCACTTAACATTACAACCAATTAAAATTACCAATTGATGGCGTAAATTCATCAGAATCTTCCTTGGGATAACGATAAAGGTAAATAAATTTTTAATTGTAATTACCACATATGCAAAAGTAAACACTAAATTCATAAAAATCTGGACCTGGAAAATGACATAGTTTAAGTAACAAATATCACCCAAGTTGTACATGTCAGCCAAGTCTCTTATCATCATATCGCTCTTTTTATTAGGAATAATGAAGTTGAATTGCTTATCGGCAATTATTTCTTTATCGCTTATGATGAAGATTGGACTTTTGTTCTCATCATTCTCGTGTACTCGTTTATGACCCTCAGTTATGTTGTTAGCAAATAAAACATTGCACAAAACAGAAGCATTTCTAGATTTTGTACGAGTATTTCCTGCTAGGAAAATGAAGCCTTTAATGACTGTGGTCCACATCACAATTAATAAAATGCGGATCGGATAATTAGGTCGATCCTTGCTTTTTCGCAAAAGCATTCGCATCAATCAATAGCCTTTATGTATATTGATTGATGTGAAACTTATTGTCTAGATCTGCGATGGTAGATAAAATACGTCTCCTTGGCTCACAAACAAGAAACATAAATGCTACGATACTTGCAATATACCTATTTATTCAAATGTTAAAAGGTTTAAAGAAAATAATCAGCATCACTGCACCAGTCTCAGAATTGTAGTAAGTAAGTCTTGAATAAACCTTCGTAAATGAAATAGCCTGCTGTCGAATACAAAGAAGAAATTAAAAATCCTCCCATCTGTTTCTTTCTGCTAACAGGCACAAGTACATTGTTAACCACAGTAAATCTAAATTTCCCAAATAAATTCCCGAAATAAGAGAATCGGTTTTATAGCGTAAATTATATCTTTAGTTTTATTTATTTCTTTAACTTTTTTATAGGTTCCTTTTATTCTCTGCCTTTCATCTCGGAATTTTTCCTATAAGTTTTTTATGCCGTGTTGCCTAATTTATGACGCGACATTAGTATTATCTTAGAAATGGCGTGTTCACTCCTTAGATTCATTATTCTTTCCTAGTAGCTCTTAAAACCGTAAATCTATAGTCGAAATCGTGGGCGACGTTTGTGTATAGAATTATTTTTATACCTTAATAATAATAATAACGCACACACTCAACATAGCCCCGCACTAGGGAAACCCTGTGTCGCGGGTGCCATGGACACACACATAGACAACCACAAATTACACCCAAACTCACGAGAGAAATAATTGCAGGCCATACAAATATTTCTCCCGGGCCCGGGAATCGAACCTGGGACCTCTGCGTGGTAGTCCGGCATGGTAACCGTTCGGCCACGGAGGCAATTAACAATGTATTTATTACCTTACAACTAACAATGTATTTATGTAGTAGGTACCTGAGCTAAATACACGCATACAATCCCATTGATGAACTAATTTATCTTGAAATGACCTAGTATCGTTTCTAGCGAATAAGTTTAATAATAAAGAAATTTTTATTAATGTCTCTAATTCAGTATGTAATTTCTTTTTAACATAAGGATACCTCGAAGTAAGGCGTACATGATATAAAATCTTAAAAAAATAAATAAAAAAACCCCTTATAAAACAGCGAATTCAAAAAGTACAATGCTACTCATTCTTCTTCTTTTTAGTGTGCCGCTTCTCTACGAATGTTGGCGACCATCATGGCTATTCTAATTTTTGAAGCTGAAAGCACGAAAGAGGTTGAAGAATCCGGTATTTATTTTCCCTCATTACGTGGCCGAAATACCGCAACTTCCTTCCTTTACAGTTCTGAGTATTTCCAACTTTTTTCCCATGCGATGAAGAACCTCAACATTGGTGACCTATTGTATCCACGATATTCCAAGCATATGTCTGTACAGCTACATCTCAAAGGACTCCAGTTTTGATATGTAAAAATGATAAATTTATTATATTAAAATATTATAATAATTTAAAATTTTAGACACGAACATTCTACACCGGTTTTAGATTAACAGACATAGATTAATACAATATTGAGGCACTTACCGGTAGTGCATTTATGCGAATGCATTGCAAATGCTCCTGTTTGCGAAAAGCTCGCGAGCTGCACACACGCATTAGATACGTTGTGCGATCTGTTCGCGCGCCTCCGCGTGCCAGATACATTAACATGTATTCTGCACGCATGCAGCACGCGTACAGCGCGCGTGCAGCGCATACGTAGCGCGCTCGCGGTTCATTCGCCAGATAAGTACGCGTACGCGTTTGACCTCCATCTCACCTGATGGAAAGTGACGATGAGGTCGATGATGGAGTTTGCACACCTAAGCAATGCCTATTTATATTATTACACTTTCGCCTGGAAAAGGTCCAAGTTATAACGTTCAGGGAACAAGACGGCAGGCAGGGAATTCCACTCCATAGCCATATTAAACCTTATTAAATCTTCCTTATTCCTAAGATTTATCGTATTTGCCGCTGGTTGTCTTGAAATAAATAAGATGTGGCGCAACGTGTTTTTCCTCCTTATGAAACGCACGTAAGCTTTTTTTGACCGGTTAAATACGATTCTATGTCGATAATGACTCCATTACGTAATTCGCAATTGCAACAAAATATTAATGCTCCGACCACACAAAGGCGGCCGCGAAAGCGTTTCGGGCGCGAGAATTTTTGTAATGTATGCGTCGGCCTAACATTGAAGTTTGGCAGGGTTCATATAAACTCGTACATTACAAAAATTGACGCGCCCGGAACGCTTCCGCGGCTGCCTCTGTGTGACCACTTGGTCAGACTATAATTGCACCTAAGAATGCGGTACATTAAGTTCCGGTCCGGGGTCCTTATCGCACAAATACGAGTAGTACTAGTGCTTATGGACCTTTTTGAGATTTTAATTTTATTCTTTAATTTTAGCGAGATTTGTATAATTGCTGATTATTTTAAATGGTACCCATTATACATATTAGACGTACTTAAATAAAAAATGTTTATACATTTTCACTATTCAGGCCGACCAGATATAATTAACGATCCCTAATGAATAATAATAAAATAATACATTAAGAGTGAGCTTGATTACCTGAAATGTTCAAGGTAAAATGCTGATAAAATTTTCTTTATTGTCATTATTAAATTAAGTACGTATTTACCTAATTACAGCTGAGAATTGTATAAATACAAAAAAAATTTATGTTTTGTTTAGTATAGCAAAAGTGTTTCAGTTGAGATCATAGTTTAGTGTTCCACAAAAAATCATTACCCTCGTTTCCGAGACCTGCACAGTTGGACAACAACAAAATGTATCCGATGTCTCAAATATTCTATTGTTTTATGTTCTCTGTTTTGAGTTTTAAAAATTCCAATGCAATTCCAAGAGGTAAGATTTAATAATATGTTTAGTATTAAAACTTTCTTATCATCTAGCACGTGTTTCATGCCATATACATAGTTTGCCTGTACAGCAGTTAACATGTGTTTACATGTTTTTCGCAGGTGACTTCATAGAGCCTTGCGCTGACCCCAAATATTGTGTTAAAAACTCCCTACAAGCATCATTGCCTGCGTTCGTGAGAGGAGTACCAGAGTTGGGCATCGATTCATTAGATCCGTTTTTCATTAAGAACTTAACACTCCTTCTGCCAGGAGACCTTAGAGTTCAATATACTCAAGGCATTTCTAAAGGAGCCAAGAAATGTGTTGTTGACATCGCAAGGTAAGAGCAAATTAATGAAATTTCCAGCCTGACGATGCATTATTACTAAAGAGATATTACATATAATGAAATGTCATTGTTTGAAAACCGCGAATATACCGCTATACACACCTGCGTATCGATGTATATGGCTCAGATATTCACATGGAGGTATGGGTATAAGAAACATGTATTATTATTAAGTTGACCATCTTCTGTTGGGAAGTTCATGTTATATAATCATAATTAACACAATTCACATTCTGGTACTATACGTTTCTTCTGAGATTTTGGTTCAATTTGGCAAAATACTATTGAGCCAGTCAATAATGTGTTTTCTAAATTTTCTTCGATGTAAGTTTCGTTGTGATGTTTTCCTCCAGTGTTAGTTAATATAAATTTAATAATATCTGTTTATTTTACAGAATTACTGGGGACATACTGGACTTCCAGATACGTTGTAATTTGACCATCAAAGGGAAGTACAGATCTACTGGTCAACTTTTCATGTTTGCGATCGACGGTGAAGGCAACTCAATGATTCGATGCAGTAAGTATCCACTGAGGTTACGTTATAGACAGTTAACCGTGTCACAGCTAAGTTCATTATCAAATTAATTAAGTATCTACATTATTTCTTTGAAACGAACTTGATGTGGTTTCATCGTTACTCATATAATTTATATTGCATTGTAATAATTTTATGGACAATGTGCATGTTTAACCTGTTGATCTTTTTTTGCCAGGAAATATTAAGATTCAATGTGTTATCAAGCTAGGAACCACGGTGGGACAAGATGGTAAAAAATATTTGGAAATAAGAAATTTTAAATATCACCATAGCTACGATGGCCAAGTCTTTTACCATATGGACAACCTCATCAAGGGAAATCCACAGCTTGGTACGTATATACACACAGATTATACAAATTGTAGTGATAAAATTTCTATTCAGATGTAGCATCTCGTTCTCATGAAGATTCACTGACGTGTGTAAGCTTTCTACTATGGCATTATAAAATACCTATTTCTTAAATGCTTTTATTAATTCCAGGTGCTATAATTATGGAGTTTATGAACAACAACTGGAGATTAGTAGCAGAAGAGTTCGGCACACCGATAGTTGACTTAGGCGTTACCTCTGCTCTAAAGAATATCAAGAAATTCTTAAAAGCTGTTCCAATGAATCAAATCGCCTCCACCAGTGTTTTTAATATTTAAGAGTAAAATAAAACCAGTTTTGTTGAAGTTACTTTCTTGTTTTTCATTGAATCCATAGCATTTCACTCAAAATATGTAGTCATAACTTAAAGCTTTTTCAAAATGTTAAATTTGTACAATTAAAATCAAATACGTAATTGCCATACTAATAAACTTTAATATCAGTTTTATGTCGACAGAAGACATGTTGTAAACAAAGATCTTCAGAGGCCATGCTTTTATTATTTCCATGAAAAGTTTCGCTTGAATCGTCATACTTCGCGGTAGTCCATGATTATTTCGTTAATCAGTGATTTTGTATTCTTGCGAATAGTTAGAAGATTCTCGCCAACCTGTCACACTCAGCGTTACTAGCAAACACCAATTGACGACGTTAAATATAGAGTTATCAGAACCATTCTGCTTGTCGCGGATAAAAGTAAATCAATGTCCAAATTGTAATTACCACATAAGTAAAAGTGGATACTAAATTCATAAAAATTTGGAACTGGAAAACTTCATTGATTAGGTAACACGCATTCTCGTATATAAACACTAATAGATATTTGTTAATGACACTCAGTCGTGTTGTTAGCAAATAAAGCATTGCACAAAACAGAAAAAAACAGAAGGTTTTGTACGAGTTGTGTTAGATACAGGATAATATGTCCTACTAGAAAAATGAAGTCTTTAATAACCAAGGTCGACCAATATTTTTAATGTGTAGTGCTATGTATAACCAGTTTTGTAACTTTATTGTTTTCTATTGAATCTACTTTGTGTAGATTACCAATCTAACGATTAAAACTGTTTAATCTAAAATAAACTATAAGTTGAAACATGAAAATTACACTGACATGTGCGAAATTTGTACAATCAAAATCAAATACGTAGTTGCCACACTAATAAACTTTAACATCAGTTTTATATCAATTGAAAACATGTTGTAAATGAACATCTTCAATGACCATGCCTCTATTAAGTCCATGAAAACTTTCGCTTGGATCCTACGCGGAAGGTCGTTAGTCCAATATTATTTTGTTGACCAATAATTGAGTATTTTTACGAACAGTTTGAAGATTCTCGAATAAAAAACATAGAACTGTTGAACTCAATAATGTACGCAAAGACCAAATGATATTGTCAAATACAGAATATTGTTCTGACTTACGATAAAAGTAAATCAATTCTCTTATTGTCATTAGCACATATATAAAAGTAGATACCAAATTCATGAAAAGCTGAAGCTGGAAAACATAATTCATTAGGTAACACTTATCTCCTGTGTAGTGTACATATTAGTTAAGTCTCTTATCTTCATATTACTCGCTGAAATACGACCAATAAAGTTGAATTCCATAACGGAAATTCCTTCTTTTTCATTTATAATGAAGATTGGAGTTTTGTTCTCATCTTTCTCATGAGTAAACACTGATAGATACTCGTTAACGAGCCTCAGTCTTGTTGTAGACAAATAAAGCAGAGTACAGAACACGAGCGTTTGAAGGTTTTGTTCTAGGTACATTAGATAAAGCATAATATTTCCTGCTAGATAAACGAAGTCTTCCATTGCCCTGATCCACATACATACAAAATAAATCTATTGAAACGCATACAATGTGCACTATGATATATAATACCAATACTTTTATTAAACGGATCCTTAAGGATCCGTTTAATAAAAGAATGGAGAAGAAGAGGAAAGAAAGTAGAATATTACGAGAAATTAATGTCTCGTAAAATTCAACACTTATATTGATTCGAAGTTCACTATCAAGATCTGCGATGCTGTACAGAATACGTCTCATGGGCTCACAAAACAATATAGAAGAGGGTGCAATGCATGCAACATATTGAATTATTAGCACATTGAAATACATAATGTCGACTATTTTACATAGCATACGTATCTATGTGTATTATGAATGTGTCTTCAAAAGTTAAGAAACATATTGCCAAATATAAAGAAGCAATTAAAATCGCTCCCATCTTCATAATCTCACTAACAGATTCAAGCTCGTTGTTAACCATATTGAATCTAATTATACCTAAAAGATTCTCCAAAAAGATAATCGGTTTTAGAATATAAATTACGTCTTGGATTTTACTTTGTTTTTTAATTTTTTTATGACTCTCGTCTTCCATCTTGGACATTTTTTGAATAGTTTTCATATATCGTGGTGCTTATGACACAATGCGTAGTATCTCAAAATGTGTGTCATTGTTAAAGTGATGGTTGACTTTTCTGTCCTTTCAAAATTTAATCTAAGTAATAGACATAATTCCTTTAATGTACGTACCTAGATATTCCATTAAACTAAATCAAACATAGACTAATCTTTGATGAGATACTTGTGTATTGGGCGCGCCAGCGCCACATTCATTAGCAAATATCTTTATAAATTGTCATTAATTAGTCTATGTTAACCGTGTAAATCGATAATTAGTGCATATTAAAATAATTAATGTACAAATATCTTTTTGAAATGAAAACAAATGGAGAAAGAATTACTTAAACTGTTCATCTGGAAGAAGTTGGACATAACTAGCAATGTATTGTAAATAAATAATATTGTAAGTAAATGTGTGTTTTTCGACCAGAGGCGTTTTTTAAGTCCGAGTGATGTGGGTAGGTGTCTACGACGTGAACATGTACCATACTCTTCCACGTATTCATTCTCAGGTAAGATGATCGAACAATCATGAGCAATATCAATAGTAAAAAGTAACAATCATTAAATAATTGATTAATGTTCATTTTGTTGATCAGGTTCTTGCGGAAGTTACTTTTTTCATTGTAAGACATATGTATGCAAATTTTCGTATTCAAATTAGCTTAGTTTCGTTGATTTGAAGCGGTTCTAAACCAGTCATATTTCACAGTACGTTTATGAACAACAACTAGAGATTAGTAGCAGAAGAGTTCAACACTCTTATCATTGATTGAGGTAACCTCTACTTCACACCAAAAAATCTTCAAGGAATTTTTAAGGAAAGAAGTATGTCTCGACGAATATTTTATATTTAATGTTAAAGTAAAACCAGTTTTGCTATTCATTGGTTTTTATTTAATCTACACATAGTAAAACCATTTCATCCAAAGCAAGCGATTTAAATGTGCGATATTTGTATAATCAAAATCAAATACGTAGTTGCCACATTAATAAACTTTAACATCAGTTTTATATCGATAGACAACATGTCGTAAACGAATATCTTCAAAGGCCATGCCTCTATTAATTCCATGAAAACTTTTGCTTGAATCCTCATACTTCGCGGGAGGTCGTAGTTCAGGATTATCTCGTTAACCAATAATTTCGTATTGTGGCGAACAGTTAGAAGGTTCTGGCATAAAAAACATAGAACTGCTACACTCAATATTGTAAGCAAACACCAAATTACGTCATCAAATATTAAAATCTCAAAATAATTCTCCGGATTTCGATAAAGTTTAATGGTATCCCAAATTAGAATTAGCACATTGATAAAAGTACATAATAAAGTCATAAAAATCTGAAACTGAAAAACGTCATTGCTTAGGTAACATGTAACTCCTAGTGTGTTGTACATATCAGCTAAGTCTCTTAACTTTGTATTGCTCGCCGAAATACGACCAATAAAATTGAATTGTTTATCGGACTTTCTTTCTTTTTCATTTATATTGAAAATTTGAGTTTTTATCTCATCCTTCTCGTGTATAAACACTGATAGGTACTCGTTAACGACTCTCAGTCTTATTGTACACAAATAAAGCAGAGTACAGAACACGAGCATTTGAAGATTTTGTTCTAGATACATTAGATACAGCATAATAATTCCTGCTAGGCAAATGAAGTCTTCCATTGCCTCGGTCCACATACAAAATAAATCGATTGATACGCATACTATGTGCACCATGATAAATATTATCAATGCTTTTATTAAACGGATCCTTGATTTCTCGTAAAATTTTTCGTTTATAGTGATGTGAAGCTTACTATCCAATTCTGCGACGTTGTACAAAATACATCTCGTGGGCTCGTAGACGAACAAAGAAGATGCCATTATGCATGCACCATATTGAATTATTACCATAATAGAAGGTATAATGTCGGTTATTATCACAAGATACGAACCATGGTGTATTTTGAATTCGTCTTTAAACTTTAAGGAAATTAAAGTCACATATAAAGAAGCAATTAAAATCCCTCCTATTTTCTTACGCACGCTAACAGGTTCAAGCTCGTTGTTAACCACACTGAATCGAATTATACCAAAGATATTCTCAAAAATTATAATGGGTTTTATAGTGGAAATAACGTTTTGGACTTGACTTTGTTTTATAGTTTCTTCTTTTGGAATATCGACTTTCATTTTGGATTATTTTCTATAATTTATAAATATTGCGATGCTAACGACACAAAGCGTAGTACCGCATAATAGGCGGCGTGTGTTTAATAAAGTGACACTTTGCCATGTCGTACTTTTTAAAACATTTAATCTATGTAATGTACAGAAATCCATTAAATTAAACAAGTAAACATGTATACATGACATATTTATTGATTTTATGTAGGGGAGAGCGGGGCTGAACGTTTTCAAATAACTTGACGTTTTACAATGAAACTGAAGGGTTTTCATTTTTAACCGACTCAGACTCAGATATTTGCTATTTAATGCTCTGAATGGTATTACAACTGTTCGGGACAGGCGTGTCGGTTACCATCAGGTGCACAATATATTCATCCCCTCACTTAGTTATTATTTTCTTTAAACTTATTAGTAGTAAAATATTTATATGTACTTGTTTCACTGTATTATGGTTAACGGTATAATTTACGTGGACAAACATGTATACTGTTTTTTCTTAAGTGTTTTATTCTTTACTCAGAATTCACTTTATGTTATTTGTTGCATTCACGCACGTTGTATCTAAGGATTCATATCAGATAACAACGACGACATCGCGCACTAGCACTGTTGGTCCAGAGTACGTAATCTGGACGTACTGTGTACGTACACATTTTTCTCATTACCAAAATGGTCGGAAAAAGGTGTTTCAATGCTTTGGTAAAAGTCAATTACATACTGATTTTTGTTACATGGCACCATTAGAATTAAAAACTTTAAAATCCAAGTTTCGACTTCTAAGGTCGGTAGTTTTGTCCTACGATGCATTAAAACTGTTTCCGGACATCCCGAATTTGAAAAAAGTAATTAATAAATATTTGGTAGTTTTAACAACTCTATGTCGCTCCTTGTAACTATATCTGTACATATATCTATAAATGTGGAACACCTTTTTCCGACCACTGGTCATTCATTACCTATTGCCTTAAAAACGATTGTCCCATATTTTATTGTATATCGGTATTTAATATTGCACCTATGGAATGTGTACAGGTACTATTTTAGTTCTGGTTGCCTCTGTCTGTTAGTGCTCAACCAGGAAGAACATCAAAAAATAAAATTGAAGAATTGAAGATAGGAAGGTTCGAACAAAAGAAGTCTGTCTTGACAATTATTTTTTATGTTTAATATTAAAATAAAACTAGTTTTGTTATTTATTGTTTTCTATTCACACAGAAAAGCCATTGAATCCAAAACAGAAAATTACATTTATTTATTTTACTAAGTTTAAACATCAAACCACATCAAAGTGCGAAATTTGTATAATCAAAATCAAATACGTAGTTGCCACACTAATAAACTTTAACATTAATTTTATGTCGATAGAAAACATGTTGTAAACGAACATCTTCAAAGGCCATGCCTCTATTAATTCCATGAAAACTTTTGCTTGGATCCTCATACTTCGTGGAAGGTCGTAGTCCATGATTATTTCGTTAACCAGTAATTGTGTATTCTTGCGAACAGTTAGAATGCTCTCGCATAAAAAACATAGAACTGCTACGCTCAATATTGTAAGCAAACACCAATTGACGACGTTAAATATAGAATCATCAGAATCATTTTGCTTGTCGCGATAAAAGTAAATCGATGTCCAAATTGTAATTACCACATAGGTAAAAGTGGATACTAAATTCATAAAAATTTGGAACTGGAAAACGTCATTGATTAGGTAACAAGCATTGCCTAGAGTATTATACATATCAGCTAAGTCTCTAATCTTCATATTGCTCGAAGAAATTCGACCAATAAAGTTGAATTGCTTATCAGAAATTCTTTCTTTTTCATTTATAATGAAGATTAGAGTTTTGTTCTCATCCTTCTCGTGAATAAATACCGATAGGTACTCGTTAATGACCCTCAGTCTTGTTGTAAACAAATAAAGCACAGCACATAGCGTGAACACTTGAAGGTTTTGTTCCAGGTACATTAGATATAGGATTATTTTTCCTGCTAGATAAATGCAGTCTGCCATGACTTCGTTCCACATACAAAATAAATCGACTGAAATACATAAAATGTGTACTATGATAAATAATATCAACACTTTTATTAATTGAATCCTTAATTTCTCGTAAAATTCTTCATTTATACTGATGCGAAGCTTACTATCCAAATCTGCAACGGTGTACAAAATACGTCTCGTGTGCTCAGAGACCAGCAAAGAACATGTTAAGATGCATGCAACGTATTGAATTATTACCACGATTGAAGGTATAACATCGATTATTTGCACTAGACTGAAATTTTGATGTATTTGGAATGGGCTTTGGTATATTAAGTAACACAATGCCAAATATAAAGAAGCAATTAAAATACTTCTTATCTTCTTACTCACGCTAACAGGTTCAAGCTCGTTGTTCACCAGACTGAATCTAATTATACCAAAGAAATTCTCGAGAATGACAATGGGTTTTATAGTGTAAATTACTTTTTGGATTGTATTTTGTTTCTTAACTTCTCCTTTTTTTGGTTCATTTTGGCTCTCGTCTTCCATCTTTTTTTATAGATAATTTTTAAATATCGTAGTAGTTCGCGACACAACGCGGCGTACCTCAATATTGATGTGTCTTTATTATAATGATGGTTTTTCACTTTAAAATTTAATCTAAGTAATGGACAGAATGTCATTAATCTAAACAAATAAATATGTATGCATGGTATTAAACCAAACGTACTTTAAGCTTTGATGAGATGTTTATGTAAGATGTCAGCGCCAAGTTTATTAACAAATACCTTGTCAGCGTTAAATATGTAAGTCAATTTTCCATTAAATGCCTAGCAAAGAGTTGATTAAATATATGGATTCGGCGACATATCAACTGACATTATATTTAAGTTATATGTTTTTAGTCGCAGTAGAGCTCCCTGTGAAAGAGTTCGTACAGGGAAGTACTGCTACCTTATCTATTTCTGTCGCCAAGCAGTAATATCAGCATTACTGTGTTCCGATTGTGAAGGGTAAGTGTGCTGGTGTAATCACAGGCACATGAGACTTGTCAACATATGGCTCAGGGTGACGAGCGCTGTGGCAGTGCCCCTCACACCTTTGCAATTTAAAGAGCCGAGTGGCACTGCAACTGTTATGGACAGGCGTGAAGCTTACCATCAGGCGCACGACTTGTTCGTCCCGTCACATGATATTATAAAAAAAAGTTTTTGTGCATACAACTGACATAGATTAAATTTCTTGTTTTAGAATTTGTCTTTCTTGTGTCTAACGCCATCTGTTATGGCTATCTGTTACTTCGATACTTTTGTAAAGCCCAACGTTTCGTTTAGAACCATAAAAATGTTAACATTATTTCTGACTGCTTCTGCTACTTCACTCAAGATGGCGCACTAAGCCGCCGATATGTAGAGTCGAGTGAATTAATTTTAAAATGATTTTGTTCGATCTTTTGTATATTCATTTTTGTATATTGGACATAGGTAAAATATAGGTGGCATCTTCCAAATATTCTATTTAGTTGGAGAGACAACATTGACGATAACATCTGCGAATCCAAGAAAACTGCAGTGAAATTTAAAAGTGTATCCAATAAACTATCGGAGGTCTCAGCTGAGCAGACCTGCGCCCGCTGTATCGACCGCTGAGATAGTGTTGTCAACATTTTATCGATATCTAATGTAAAAAATTTGGACTAAACGAATAAATGTTTTAAATTTGTATAAACATACCAATATTTTCAAACAAATTAGAAGTACTTGGAATTAGAGGAACGCAGCTCAAACTTTTACAGGACTATCTTTCTGACAGAAAACAGCGCGTGACGATTGACAAAATTATGAGTGACGAATTACCGATTGAATATGGTGTTCCGTAAGGAAGCATATTAGGATCAATCCTATTCCTTGTCTATATTAACCAACTATGCGCTCTTCCCCCTCTGGTGGCAAGATCACATCTTACGCCGATGATACAGTCTTATTATTCAGCGCCTCATGTTGAAATGAAACATTTTCACAAGCTCAATTTGGTTTTAACACAGTAACCGTGTGGCTCAGAGCGAAGGGCATTCGCTGAATACTAGCAAAACTAAATATATGACTTTCTCATACAATATCTCCTCACAACCTCCTGAGAATGCTTTTTCAATAATAGTTCACCATGGTACAAGCCCTCGAATTCATTTAAACCTCTGTGCTTGTCCAACACTGGACAGCACAAACGACATTAAATATTTAGGTGTGATAATTGACAAACATCTAAATTTCAAACACCATATTGTAGCGCTTACTTCTAGAATTCGAAAATTGATATATGTTTTTAAAAATTTAAGATATGCAGCTGGAAGCGCCCTTCTCAAATCAGTGTATTTAGGCCTCTGTCAATCATTGCTACTTTACTGCATTACATCCTGGGGCGGTGCACATAAGACCACCCTAATAAACCTGGAAAGAGCGCAGAGATCTATTCTTAAAGTCACCAACTTCCGTCCTTCCTATTATCCAACCCGCAAACTCTTAAACGAGTGCGATGTCCTCTCGGTTCGGCAATTGTTTAAGCAACAAACAATTTTGAAAAAGCACTCAATTACTCCATTTGATTCTGTTACTTTAACGAACCAAAGACGACTCGATACCTTTTCATCTCGTGCACAACTCCGCCCAGCACACTCGCATAGATTCTTTTGCTTCCTTGGTACATTCCTTTACTTTAAATTACATTCTAATTTGCATTATTCCATGAATAAAATAGAATGTAAAAGGACCGTCAAATTGTGGCTTAAGAGTAAGACTTACAATGAAACAGAGGAGTTGCTGGAAGTTGTTTCATAATTACCTTTTGTTGTTTTATATAGGTAACCATTAATTTATAAGTACTAATTATTTTATTGTTAAACATAGAAAATTTATTTTTAAGCTGTAATATAAAGAAATTTGCATAAAAAGATGCCTAAAATACAGGTATATATTTACTTAGTTTAGGCATCGCAATTACACTTAGATGCCTTAGATGCCTTACAATGTGTTATTGATTGATTGATTCCCCTGTTAATTCTTATTTAAATACTGTAATAGCTTTATTTACATTTGTTTTACTTATATTGTATTAGATTAAGTTATATTGAAATAAATTTATCTTTATCTATTTAACAGTTTTATGCCAGCTACAAAATCTGCGCGCTGGTTTATTTTCAGTTACCCCGTTTTTATTTGTATTACCAAATATATTTTACAGTGTCAAATAACTTCAAGAACTTCTACGCTTACAAGAAGTAGTACCTAGACAAGTAATAAGTATGTTAAATAAAATTCATCTAGAGATTGATCTAAAGCAAGTTGTAACCAGCACCCATACTAATATTGAAGTGTATTATGAGTCGTATTCACTGAATATTATGCGATTAAATGAATTGTTATGTTGAAATAAATATATTCACCGTAATATTATCTACATATTCGTCTACTCATTGTTGATTGTAGAGCATTTATATGTTATTCCTTTCTTTTAGTGTTCATTTTCATAAATTTCTGTATTGCGTAAATACAAATAAAAGGAATAATTTTATCGACCCTTGAGTATCCCAACCCTACATTCCCGAAAGCTAGGTAGGAGCCAGCGCGGCACGTCAGTGGAGGCGCGACATACGCGCGGCGGTCCACGCGGCCTACGCGCCGCGGACTCTTGCAGGTCCCCCTTTTACTAGGCCCGCTTTCACTGGGCCCCCGTCAACTCAACGTCAACTGTCCCGCGGCATCATGGGTCAAGCTACCGGTGCTGAATGCACCCCAGATGATGATGATGAGGAACCCCGTGTTCCTGTAAATCCGACAGACACCTCATCGGTGAGTTCGTTAATACATAACGTTTCCGTTTTTCATTTAGTTTATTATTTATTAATTCTGGATTTTGCATGGATTCTCACATCGAACTAACGGGCTATCGAGCTATAACATTGTATGATATGCATAAAATAGTATTTACCTGAACATATTTTATATGCAAATACCTAGTAAAGTTGTTTTTATTTTGGACTTTGCCTTGTTAAAAACAAATACCTATTAAATTGTGTGTCCTAACTTTTATAATATTATGACTATACACATATTACCTACAAAGACCTAGAGAGGTGTCACAATGTTTTTAACTGACTATTGATGGTGTATTCAAATAAATTAAATAAACAAAAAACAAAGGCGTCTATCAAAAACTGCGAAGCTACATAATAATGCAGCAGCTGTAATAGGCAGATAAACTTCAACTAACGTTTAATTTCAAACTATCTCTTGTTCTATCTAAAAATACTTTCCGGTTGTTGCACTTCATTACAACTTATTCTAACTTATATAATATTATCAATATAACTTTGCTGCTTACTTTTTACAAACGAGATCGCCAACTCGTGGACTCCATGATGTTTCAACCGGTTTATTTAAACAATCGAAACGTTTTAGAGACAATAAAAGAAAAATATGACCTTTTTTAATTTTAAAATCACAGTTTTTTATGATACCAAGTAACCGATCGAACAAGACATGCGTCTGGTGTTAAGTGACACGCCTGTCCATAGCAGTTGCAGTGCCACTCAGAGCTTTAAATCGCAAAGATCTGAGGAGCACTGCCACTGCGCCCGTCACCTTGAGACAAGTTGACAAGTCCCATGTGCCTGTAATTTAACCAGCACCCTTACTTCTGTAACCCTTACTTTAGTCTGACTTGAGCATTGAGTAGAGTTCTGGAATACGACACTTAGTTAGCGGACGGCAGTATTGCTGTCATGGTTTCGTACTCACGAACAGAATTTGATATGACCTAATTTTAAAATTGAAAAGGATTTAAAAAGTTTCGTTTTTTTCGTTTCAAACTCTCAGAGTACCATTGGAGTCCTATAGCACAACAAAAACTCAATAGTAAGGGATTTGATCTCACTGATAAAATTTTCATAATAAAAAAAAAGTAAGTATTGCGTTGTTATTTCTTTACGTATTTATCGATCAATTTTATTGATAGGTAGACTTCAACACACTGAACATAACGAACGGTATGATTTTCAAACGATTATCACTAATTACAGGTTTCAACACGACATGATTTCTTTT